GGGGCAACCAAATGAGCGGTGGATGTTTCTCAAACAGGTGTCAGAGAGTGGGCCAAGTGGAGGTCCTTTGTGCACACTCAGATGACTGACTCTAAAAATATGGTGCAAGCAAAACTTAATGCAGATCCGATTTCTATCCAAAACTTTAGAGCCATCCCCGAACCCAAGTGGGTTTGACAGTTATGGTTTTGAAAAGCCATTAAGTGCTTTTTAAACCATTTTATTTTCACTTATTTTCATCATGTCATCCACAAAGAAAACTTTGTCAAGATAGCTGTTTTCAACATTGGCAAAATCACATTTTATAGCTCCTCCATAGTTCTGTGTAGTTTTGATCCAGCATGGTTTATTGGGCCTCTAGGATGGGACTGACGGTGACTTGTTTTTTGAAGTAGAAGATCCCCAAGACTTGAGTTACCGGGTAAGTGGGTTAAGCACAGACTCCTCATACCCTGCAACTGCATTGGCGCCTACTCTGGCTTTATAAGTCTAAGTAAACTTAAGCCATTAGGTATTACCTTTTCTCCTGAACTGGCTTTCAACAGGGACCCAACAGGAAGAGGGAGATTAGAGAGATTTTTACCCAGAAAAGTAACTGTATGCATTTGTTCATGAGTGAAGACTACATCAGACTTTTTTTTGCTTGCCGCAATGTCCTTTTCAGAAGGTTGAGCAGAGGAAACAAAATGCTGTACAGATTTTAGCCACGTACACCCTGTAGCCAAACAAATAGGTTAGACTGGTACTTCCCTATCAAAAGCGTGTTTAGAAAAGGTAAAAATAAGTGATACTGAGCTGAACCCAGCACCTTAGGGATATGAGAAGAGATGAAGGTATCTGCCTCTTTTACATTTCCACTTCACAACAGCTGGTCTGATGTTCAGTAATGCACTGAAAAAGCATTGCAACTCAGGACAAGGTTTAAACATTAAGAATTTGAAACTCAAATATTTTCTCATTTTCCTGATCCACATTAGTAGAGGCTTTATTTTTCTGTCTAGTTTGAGTGTAAGACCCACCCTTTTGATTAACTTTTAGCCTGCGTGCTGACACAGTAGCTTTATCTCACAATCCACTTCTTACTTCATTCTCACATTTTGCAGAGACTTTTCCTCCTGCCTGCCAAGGCCAACTTGTAGGCTGCATTAAACACTGGATTACTGTAGGTATTTCCTGTATTTTTTATGGTTTCTGTGCCATAGGGCCCACAAGGAAACTATTAAAAAAGCCAAAATCAACCAAAAGTCACACTTTGGCAGTTAAGCAAATAAGAACATATTGGATGGATTTCCAGAAAGAGGCATGAAACCGTAGGTGTGGTGAGCATTCACCAGGGATGTAGGTGATGAAATGCCAATTCTTGTTGGAAAGAGTAAATTTCTATTAGAACCTGTTAGCATATGGATAATGTGCAATAGCTGTGAGAGAAATGGCATTGTGGTTTTCTACTGCCTGCCAGTGCCTTCAAACACTCAGTATGTGACACTTTTAATCTGTCTGTGAAAGTTTCATAAACATCAGCTAGAATTATTTACAGTTAACAAAATGGGCTAACTCGAAAGGTGTCATTCAGAGACATGATGTCATTCAGGGTTTTTTTAATGCAAAGCCAAAGCATTTAAAGTTAAGAAGAAATTAGTTATTACTCAGTTAGTTTCACAGTTACCCATAAATTACCATAGGAAGATTGAAAGATGTTGAATCAAGTTCTCTCCTGTTTTGAATTCAAAGAAAGCTTGTCTTCAGGACAGTTGTCTTCTGGGGTCTCTGTGCCATAGCTAAAACACAAGGTGAAAATCTGGCACCAGTTTGGCCCTCTCAAAACCCAGTGCTGCCAAAATTGGAGTATTACCAGTTTCTGAGCAGGCTTAAGTTCAACTCGGGTGAGATGATGCTATGCACCAGTGCAGTGTTGATACACCACAGTAGTGTCAGAGCTGGCTTGCTGGCTCTCCTCTTGTCAATGCCTATTTTACTTTGGTGTACTTTGGTTGGTTTTGTACAGTAATTTTCATGCAGACAAATAAGCATTTAATATGCTATCAAAGCTAATTCTTGCTTTGCACTCTTAAGTAATCAGGAGCTCCAAATCTTAATCCTAGTCTTTAGTCTCACATTTTGTAAGTCCTAAGAAACATCCCTAGACTAACTATATAGCCATCCTCAAGAAGGAAAATAGGAACATCTCAGCTGCCACTGGGTTCTCAGTTCAGCACTTCTCTGTGTAGAGGAACAGCAGTGGCCAAGAAGGGACTTGCAAAGGAGCATTTGAGGTGAGAGCTACACGGACCTTCTCAGGTTGTAATGTGGATGGGAGGGTGGGTGCCCCTGCCAGATGCAGAGGCCTGGATGTGACCCTTTCTAGTAACACTCTCACTCCATTAAGCTTTAGTTCCAAATTTTACAGCTGTATAAAGGCTGTATCAGAACATATCAGTAAGTATGGAGTCCATTTTGTACATGCCAATAAACATACTGGTTTTATTCCCAAACACAGTACATTTTATCTTCTTTGCTCAGGGGAAAATGCACATGCAATGTGTAGAAAGATGTATATAAAAATACATACATATATGTCTTGTGTATGTATATATGTGTGTATTTCTTATGTGTTTATATACCTATGGATATATATTATTAAATGAGGAGCGGAAGCATGATTTTTTGTGACTTTGTGTTTCATGGCTGAATTATGCTCAGTCCTACAGTGCACAAGCTTTGACTGAAACTTATCTTGTGGCTGAGGCACTTATAAGGGCTCCCTCAAATGTATTCTCTAGCATCTACTGCTGTCATTGAAAAACTACCCTAGTTTTCCTCTCAGTGGGAACATTAATAGGATCTCTTTTTCTACCCAACCCCATGTTTTTTTTCAGAAAACTTGTAGGAATTTAAGTTTGCAACTTTTACCAATCTGTCAGAATTTGGTTAAAATTGGTCAATGGGTTCAAAAGCTGCAGCATAAAGCATGGACAGGCACAAACAGCAGTCACAGAAACAAAAAAGGACACATTTGTTTCTGGTACACTTTATAGCTCTTTAAGAAATCTTTATTTACTACTTTATAGTTGTGTTTTTCACAGATAGTTCTGGTTCTTTACATATAAAAAATATTCTTATATTGCAGACAATTAGGTTTTTTTTTTTCCTATCTGCTGTTGGAGTGTCTTGCTTAAAAGTACAGCAGAGCAGTATATCGGATAACACCCACACTCCCTAAATCCATAAATCTGGGTTGAAAAGTTCAGCCTGATTAATTCCTGAATACTTTGTCCGAGATTTGTTGAAGCCGGTCCAAGTTTTTAAATTCTTGAATATCAACACATGGAAATATCTTCTCAGGGGATTAGAAAGGGACCTTAAAACAAAAGCACATTTTGGAATAGGGCAGAAATATTTTGCTTTTTCAGGTCAGGCCAGCTGTATCTCTTCTCTAATCTGAATATTTATGACCTGTAGGAAAGCTGGCAGTTTTATACCCTCTTACAGATTATTGCCAGTTCCCTGTCATGATGGTGAAACATTCTCACCTTTTTAAGGCTTCTGAAAGGGGCTTTCCTACTGATTTGCCAAAAGGGTGGGATAGATAGTCTGGAAGTTATGAGACATTTATTTTTCCCAATCTGAGTAAGCATATATTTTTATATCTCTGAACTAGTGATAGAGTGGTAGTATCAGTAATAGGGACTAATCGGTGCTTCTAGAGGCATGAATCAGCAATATAGGAAATCAAACATCAGATCTCCTCTTACCATTCAAGAATCCCAGGCCATGCAATGCAAACTGCTGTTCTAGCGCTAACTCTGTTGGTGAAAATCTTGGCCAACTTTGAACAGGCCAGTTTTGTTGCAAGGAGGATGTATATTGGACGATGTCTGTCTGTAGCAGTCCAACAGACACTTCCCCGGATGGCTCAAATATCATCTGTCTTCATTCAGTCAGAGTAAAACTGGCACGAACTCCAGTTGTTTTGGTTAATTTAAAAGAAATGCAGGTGGTCACACCTTATTTGCACCAGGTAGGTGTTTCCACGTGGTGCAGTAGTGCATAGCTCAAGCAAGCCAGACCTCTGCTCTGTCCTTCCCAATCTTTAGTTAGACTACGCTATCATCATTCTGTATTTAAAAGACTAATTATTCTGTGTTCTAACTAACTGACTTATTACTTGGATCAGCATTAGCCAGATTTTTGTTGTCCATGAGCTGGCAGCTTTTCCTGAGCGTGTCTTGTCTCTTGATGACAACTGGATGGTGGTCACTGCAAAGTCAGCAGGGGCTTAGGGCCCTCTGACCCAAAGGTAGGCAAAATCAGCTTCTGCCACCTTTCCAGATGCCAGCTGGCCCCAAGGACAGTTGAACTCTCCTACTGAGTTAGAGATGCTTTCTAATCTGATCATCAGACATCCTATGCCTCATGGGAAGAAAGGCATGTTCTTCAACTTCTATTAACAAGCCTGGTAAAGAAGGGTTTGCCAAGTGAAGTGGTGAAAAGCAGATAGAGGGGTCCAGAAAGCATGATCTCCCACCAAAATAAAGCCCTAGGTAGCTGGATGCTTCCAGGTGATAGCACCATGTCTCAGAGCTATGTATCCAGGATACTCTGTCAAGATCTCTGTAACAAGACACAAATCTGGCATACCTTGCAGTCAGCGCCAATAGGTTTTTTGCATTCCTCGCAGGTGTTGGAATAAAGGTTTTCATAGCAGTTCACACAGTAGGGGCTGTCCTCCCTCAGGATGTACTTCTTACCAAACAGGGACTCTTTGCAGTAGTGGCAGTCAAAGCGTTCAGTCATGTTGGTGTCAGGAGTCCAGCTATCCTGTCACGAAGACAGAAACAGGCACTTGTCAGACTGAGCTACACTTGACCCAATCCCCCAAGAAAGGTTTATCAATTCCAATTTGTCACATTGTACCTCAATTTTAATTCAACTTTCAGTCAGACAAACAAACACAATAGGAAGAAACTGGACTCTAGATTTTGCAGTGCTGGGTAATGACAATAGCCCATTTACTTTAGCCATTCACTGACCTGTCTTTGACCAGAGCTAATGTTGGAGATGAGAGAGAGGAGTAAATCCTGAGTTTGAAGGATTCACATGGGATTTATGAATGGGATTTGACCGATAGGTCCAAAGCAAGAAGCTGTCTCTGTAGGGGCTGGAGGGAGCCAAGTACATTAAGAGGATGTACTACCAGCTAATCTTCAGAAGGAGCAACATCTCCTCCATAAGGCAGTACAAAAGTTTGCATTGCTGGTAGACTTTAGTCATGCACAGGCTGTTGAGCGCCACTGTTATGGGCTTCTGCTCCTTCCTTCTCTACATTCTCAGTGAATGCCAATGTCTGGCAATCATTGCCCTGCAGTGAGACACCAACCCTCCGCCTCTGCTCACGCATGGGACTACGGGCACCGTTAACAGCAGGAGACGTGGGGCTGGTGTTTGTGTATCTGATTCTTCTCTGATGCAGTTGAATGAGTTATCCAACAGCTGTAGCATACTGGGACACAAATGGGAGCTAGCTGCTCTGGTTCAGGCAAATCCTTGTCAAACAGTGATTATGGAAGGGGAAAAGCAAGGAGAAGAAACTGCAAATGATGTATCGGCTTGTCTGAATTAGGGACAAGTGCTATTTGCTTCTCAGATCTTGTTATGTCTCTAGTATTTTCTGGATGCACACACAAGCAACAATGACACAAATGCCTTTGATTACTTGCGTGAATGTTCATTATTGCCTGAGACAATTTATTTTGGGTTTCATTGGAGTCATCAGCTTCTTTCTTAACCTAAGGTTTGCAGCGTGTGTTGCACCTGAAATCTGTTTGGAGGTTATACAGCTGGAGCAGGGCATAGCTGCCTGCTTAGGAAGGGGAATTTCCCGGGCAGAAAGCACATTCCACCTAAACTACGTGATCTTCACTGCCTGCCAGGCCTCATCTCCTCTTTAAGCCACATTTGATCTATAAAGCCTTAAATGTTTTGGGTACAAATGGCTTAAGCGCCTACCTCTGTCTTTCACACACAAGTGACATTTACAGCAGCTGCAGTCCTTTTGCCAGCTTCAGCTCTCAGTTTTAAAGAAAAAGTTGTTACTTGCTTAGTGTTCTTGGCACAGGTTGCTGGATTCTGGAGTTTGTCCTCTCCTTCTGGCAGTGGGAGTCACCCTTAGGGCATTCTGAAATCTTGAGTTCTTCTCCAGGATTTCAGTTTTTATTATTACCTTTTATTCCCCGTAGCTGGGGTTTGATTAAGGTTTTAGGGCAGTCTGAATGGGCAACTTGTTTTGATGGCTCAAAATTTTTCTGTCTTTTTTTTTTTTTTTTTTTTTTTTTAGTGCTTGGTCAACTGCTGAGTGGTCTGGTGACTAGCACCGACTAAGGGGCGAGTGCTTTTCTATGTGTGAATTAGGTAAGTGAGGGCTCAGCTGTTGGGAAGTCTTTTGGATTCCAAGTAACTACAAAAGAAGAGAGAGACACAAACTACTAAACCCCAAAATGTGCTTGGAAGAAAAATCCTGACAGATGGTCATCTGTGCTACTGACAACCTGGGCGGAGTAGCAGTCCAGCTGCTTTGAGCCTACAGATGCTCTAGGAACTAATTAACTTTCTTATCCCAAAGGGGACCTAGGAGTATGGTAGGTGCTCTTGGTCCTTAAGGAGTAGAGAGGATCATAGGGACTGATAACAGAAAGATGGAAAGTGAGAAGACTTATGCTGGAGAGAGAGGTGGAATGACCAGCCGAAGCTCCCCTCCAGCCCACCTCCACCAGCAGTGGCCAGCAATGAAAGTGTAAGGGAGGAGAACAGAGTTGGTACAGTCACCTTTCCTTAATAACTGCTTCCAGCAAATGAGCCTCCTCTTGAAGCAGAGGTGCAGTCTTTATCACAATATTTAAAAGGTGATGTTGCATTTATCTTCCCCTCCGTTTTGAGCCTGTTTACACCCTCAACCTAGGCAACGCACTTATACTTCCCCATGAAAGAACTAGAGAGGACTTAACTTCCTTCAAGCAGTAATTTCAGCAAAATGAATGGAGTCAGACCAGTATAAACTGGTGTGTGTGTGTGTGTGTGTGTGTGTGTGTATGACTGAGTCTGGGAGGAGTGGTAGTTTTGTCCAAATAATCTGTATTTAGGACAGAAATCTGTACTTTTTACCAGTCCTTATTAGGTATTTTTTCCAAATGGTAAGATTTGGCTGCACAGCTAATTTGTATTATTACTAAGTTAAAGTGTGAGCAGGAACCATTTATGAACTTGCATTTTCCACCTTTCTTCAGAATTAGTTCTTTCTAGTCCTGAATGTGAAGTAGATGTGTGATACCAAAGAGTGAAAAATTTCTCGGCAGTCAAAACGTGTAAAAGCAAAAACCATAAAGCGTGATTCCTTTACAGGTTTATACCATTTCTTGCCTTCATCCAAAGCTGCTAAATGTAAAATATAGAAGTGGTTTGTGACTGGAAGAAGGACTCAGAGGTGGATGTTCCAGCCTCTTGGTCACAGGAGGTTTCTTTTTGAGTGCTGTATTATTTTCTGGGTGCTTTTCACAGGAGCAGAGACAGGCATTATTTAATAGAATAGTCACCACCACTATTTCAGAAAATACCTGGACATTTTCCTCCCTATGCTGAAAGGGATTTGGTTTTGTTAAATGTGCTCTAAGATTGTCACAGTGGAGTGCCCCCCCTTTCCTGAGCAGGGAGAGGCAGACCTGATCTCTATGTCCCAAACAGATTTAGGGGTGAACTCTGCTCTGTGAAGACACTGAATGGGCAGCTCTGGATGGGGTTTGAGGCACAACTCCGGACATCTGAGAAATTAAAAGGCAAGAAAGGAAAGTTTCCAAGATCTGCATTTTGGTTTTAGTTGCGTGAATCTTTTATTGGATCTGGCACTAATTTCAGACCCAATATCTCTTAAAGTTAGGAATTCAGGTTCATGTGGTTTCATTCAGAAAGCTGGAATTCAGGGTGAAGCATCCCAAATTCCAGGCTGTTTAGATCTGGGCCTTGGATTGGCTCTTAGGATCTACTATGCGATATTTCGAGGATATTTGACAGTTTTTTTCTTCTCTGGAGAGAAGAAATTAAATGTTCATTTCACTGTTGTCTTACAAATAAGAAATGCAAAATCATACTGAACAACTTTTTTGCCCATCACTTGGTGCCCATGGCCTCTGCATCGCCAATCTGTTGGTTCCCGTCATACACAAAAATTGTGCTTAGCTTAGTGCAGATCCTATGCATTGCTTTGGGCTTTAAGAAAAAAAAACGAAAGAATTTCACAGCTGTGGATGGACGCAAATTGCAATGCAACCTCCTTGCCACTGATCTATTTCTTCCTCTAGTGTTTGATACTTGTTGGCTGTAAAGCTTTGTGGGCCAGAAGCTCGTCTTTATTATACGTTTTTGTGGTACATCAAGGTCTTTAGATTTTATCACAGGAGTCATTTTATACTTACGCTTTTTTAGATCATTCTCAACATTATCAGGAAGGAAAAATGGATTTTCCTGCCATACAGTCACTCTCCCTCCTACAACATTAGACACAACAAGTACATCTCCAAAAGGAAAAGAGCTTTCCATTGCATGCCCAGAAGAGAAGTTACAGCTTATACCAAATGTTAGCACTACCCACGTTGTGTCTTCCAGGAAGTAAGAATTGGCATGAAAATTACCCAAAAGTTAGTGGGCTGAGTTAAAAACTATGCTTCTTTCTTCTTCTTCCACTCTTTGCTTAAACAGTTTCATTTTACTAGCAGTAATTGTTAAAGTTATCGTATTACCTCATAAAAATTAGGGCTCATAATGTCATTAAGAAATCATCTGGTGTTCCCCCATCCCATGACACTACTGACTACTGGAAAAGGGGATTAGCTGCCCTAGACCCTGCCTGCTTTTTCAACTACATCTACAAGCCTAATAAGACATGTTCTGTGCATCTCTTATTTCAGCCCCTCTTAGGGGCTGTTGAACACTGAGAGGTACAGATGCACACACACAGGAGAGAGAAAGAAGCCAAGGGAAACTGTCTAAAAAATGTAGGAGTTGCCTAGTTTATTCAGTGAAGTGAAGCTCTGATCTGTTGTAATAGTATCTGGAGACATGGAATTAAGTCCCTGTAGGTGCCGAAGGGGAACCTGCTATTGACCTCAGTTAGGTCAGTAGGGCTGGGGCTCTACCTGTGCCCCCGGAGCAGGATGATCTGCAGCCACCCACTCAGGAAATAGAACATCTTTGGAGACACCCATCTTCCTCCAAGATGTACACACATTTCTCTCACCTGACTTTTTTTCCAGAAGAACTGTTCACATGAAGAATTTTCTATCTGTTTATTTTGCTTCTCCTGAGAAAGGAAGATTTGTGTCTGGCAACTCCAGTGACATAAGCCATACAGGTCTAGAGCATTTGGAAACAATTTATGTTAATGTTCCAAAAGCTAAAATGCAAAGATTTATGATATACTTTGCAACTATGAACTAGCAGTTCAAATTATGCTGGTCTTTCTGGCAAGAGTTGATTATTTTCCTGTAACTTAGCAGCTATTGCCACATTCGTTATCTATCATCTTGTTGCAGCTGCCGCAAGCCACTCTTCTAAGAGTTAATCATTTTTCCAAACCAGGCCATAATGCCATGCAAGAGGAGAGAGGAGGAAAGCTAGTTTTATTTCTTTTAAATTTACTTTAGGAAAAGAAGAAACAATCATTTGCCAGTAGCACTGACAAGAAGAAAAAAGAAGCAACATACAGTCAGAGTCCACCTGAACTTCAGAAGTTCCTGGAGTAGACGTGCACCACAAACACCCAA